CCTGGGGGACTTCAACGCCCATGTGGGAAACGCTAGTGACACTTGGAGAGGGGTGATTGGGAAGAGCGGCCCCCCTGATCTGAACCCGAGCGGTGCTCAGTTGTTGGACTTCTGTGCCAGTCACGGTTTGTCCATCACGAACACCATGTTCGAGCACAAGGGTGTCCACCAGTGCACGTGGCACCAGGACACCCTAGGCCGGAGGTCGATGATCGACTTTGTTGTCGTATCATCTGACCTTCGACCGCGTGTCTCGGACACTCGGGTAAAGAGAGGGGCGGAGCTGTCAACCGATCATCACCTGGTCGTGAGTTGGATCCGCTGGCAGGGGAAGAAGCCGGTCAGACCTGGCAGACCCAAGCGTATAGTGAGGGTCTGCTGGGAACGTCTCGCTGAGCCCCCTGTCAGACGGACTTTCAACTCACACCTCCGGGAGAGTTTCTCCCAGGTCCCGGCGGAGGAGGGGGACATGGAGTCCGAGTGGACCATGTTCTCTGCCTCAATCGCCGATGCGGCGGCTCGTAGCTGTGGTCGCAAGGTCTCTGGTGCTGGTCCCGGCGGCAACCCCCGAACCCGGTGGTGGACACCGGCAGTAAGGGATGCTGTCAGGCTGAAGAAGGAGTCCTATCGAGCCATGATGGTTCGGGGGACTCCTGAGGCAGCTGTCCAGTACCGGCAGGCCAAGCGTGCCGCGGCCCGGGCTGTTGCAGAGGCAAAAACCCGGGACTGGGAGGAGTTCGGAGAGTCCATGGAGCATGACTATCGGTCGGCCTCGAAGAGATTCTGGCAAACCATCCGGCGCCTCAGGAGGGGGAAGCAGTTCTTTGCCAGCACCATGTACGGTGCGGGTGGAGAGCTGCTGACATCGACGTGGGGATATTGTCGGGCGGTGGAAGGAATACTTTGAGGTTCTCCTCAATCCCCCCGTCCCGTCCTCTGTTACAGAGGCAGAGGCTGAGGATGTTGGGGCGGGTACATCCATCCCCCCTGGGTCTGAGGTCACTGCAAGGTGGATTTCTAAGCCTCCATGGTGGCAAGGCTCCGGGACCCGCATGGCCCTATTTTAAGCCGGATTTAAGGGCTTTTTTCGGGGTTAAAACCTCCAGGGACTCCCCTTGGTTCTGGGACCTGTCATTGCTCTTTTTCAAGACAAATTTCATGCGCTCTCTCCCGGGGAGAAATGCGCCCACCCTTATTCTTTGAGAATATGTGTGCACTTGTTTTCAACTCCTGGTGGGTTCCATAACCTGAGATTCCACTCACGTCATGGGGACTGGTTTTACGTGGTGGGGCCCGAACACCGGACCCCACTGGTCCAAGCTTAATAATCAATGGGTAATGCTTTTCTAACGGTCCTTATGCAGTCTCTGTAAAAATATGGAAAGGACCCCTGGAGGTTTACTTTCCTGAAAAAAGTGTGTTATGTGTCGGAACCCTGGTGGTGGGTTGCGGGATATCAAGGAGGGGCACACTGGGGCAATTTCAGTCCAGCAGGCTGGAGCCAATCATGGAGCAGCACAACAGAGGAAATCAGGTGTCAGGCTAGAAAAAGGTGCAAGTGTGTGGTTCATTAGGCTGCAAGAAATCATGGAGGAGCACACTGAAGCGCACGCTTACAAACCACTGGTAAGTGCTGACTACAAGTCATGACTTCAAATTGTTATATAGAATGATTACAAATTATTTGTTGTTTGTGCAGCTTAGTCAAGAGTCCCTAATTGATGAAGTCGACTCAGATTCTGACGATTTAACTGTCAAGAAGAAACCTGTAAAAAAGTATGGAAAAAGAAAAATCAAAAACACTTTTCTTCAAGACTCGGAAAGTGACGAACCAAAGGCAAATAAGATTGTTATCATGCAGCTGCAAAAGAAGAAAAATGGGGGGCGAGTATACAGCAAGAGACACTTCTGCCTCTACTGTTCAATGTCCTGCCACAAAATGTCCCGTCATTTGACTAGAAAACATGGAAATGAAAGTGACGTAGCCAGAGCATTGGCTCTACCTGTGAAATCTAAAGCACGTAAACTTCAGTTTGATTTGATCAGGAATAGTGGAAACCGTGAGCACAATTTTGAGGTTTTAAAGGCCGGCATTGGAACTTTAGTCCCAGCTAAACAGCCAAATTCCCCAGTTAAATCCAGTGAGTTTTTGCACTGTATAGACTGTGGGGCATTGCTTAAGCGAAAGTCGCTGTGGAGGCATGTGGCCAGGTGCCGGCTTTCACAGAAAGATGCCCAGGCTAAACCAGGTAGAAGTAGGGTCCAGTCCCTCTGCTCCCTAGCCCAGCCTGTACCGGAGGGCATCAGCAAAAAGCTGTGGTCTTTAATTTCGGCAATGCATCAGGATGAGGTCACGGGTGTTGTCAAAGCAGAAAAGGGGATTCTGAGACTCGGAGAGCACCTGTACTTAAAACACGGGCATGATAAGACTAAGCATGATTACATTAGGCAGAAAATGAGAGAAGTCGGTAGGTTAATTAACGAAGCAAAAACCGCAGGGAAACTGAAAACAATTAAGGATTTCTTTATTCCTTCCAACTTTAACCATGTGATTGATGCAGTCAGGTCTGTGGCTGGATATGATGAGGAAACAAATCAATACAAGACTCCATCCTTGGCCCTCAAACTCGGCCATAGCCTCAGAAAGCTAGCAGATATTCTTGAATGTGACTCAAAAATGGAGCATTGTGTTGATGAACTATTTATTAAAAACCTCCAACGAAGCCGGCTGCTTTTTGAGAAGAGGTGGGACGTCTGTGTTTCTTCTGCTGCCCTACAGACCCTCCGGCAAGCCAAGTGGAACACTCCGGACCTGCTCCCTCTGACTGAGGACGTTAGAGCCATGCATGCACATATTGAGGTATGTCGACCTGAATATGTGCAAACCCTAATAAGTGAGCCAACGTCTAAGCATTGGTCTAAACTGGCAGTTTTGACTCTTTGTGAGGTCATCATTTTCAATCGAAGAAGGGAAGGTGAGGTTTCAAAGATGCCACTGACAGCCTTTACCTTAAGAAGTAAGACTGGGATCCATTCTGACATTGCTCTGGGACTGTCCCAACTTGAGAAAAAGCTGTGTCAGCATTTTCAACGCATTGAAATTAAAGGGAAAAGAAGTCGGAAAGTGCCGGTTCTTTTGACTCCTGAAATGATTGCTTCGATGGAGGTGCTGGTGGAGAACAGAAGGGCCTGTTCCATCTCTGACCATAACCCATACTTCTTTTCCCGCCCGGGCGCAGACACCCACATCAGGGGATCAGACTCCCTACGCCAGGTAGCCAAAGAATGTGGTGCGGTGCATCCAGAGATGCTATCCTCAACCAAACTTAGAAAGCACATAGCTACTATGTCTACAGTTCTCAATATGAAAGAGAATGAGATGGACATACTTGCCAACTTCCTCGGCCATGACATTCGCATCCACAGGCAATATTACAGACTACCAGAGGGGACACTGGAGCTGGCCAAAATCAGCAAAGTGTTGATGGCCATGGAGCAGGGAAGAGTGACGGAATTCGAAGGAAAGAGCCTCGACCAGATACAAATTGAGCCTGAAGGTAATTCTTGATATTATTAAAATATGTATGATTTTTTTCCCCTAAAGGCCACTTGTATTTTTATTTTCTGTGCGACAGGGAGAGCAGTAGAGATCCTCTCACAAACGGACGGGCTAAAAGAAACTTCAAGCGGAGAACCTTCAACCATTCATCCAGATGCACCCCATGGTAGTGGCAGTGCCCCTTCTGGTAAGTGTACCAGGTGGGGGATTACAGCCAGGCTGCTTGGTCCTCACCCTGGGAGTGTATATTGCTAATATATTTTTATTTCTCTCCCTAGAACGTGTAAGAAAGCCATGGTCTGCATCTGAGGTGAAGGCTGTGGAGAAGACCATGACACCTTTCATACAGACTGGAAAGGTCCCTGGGAAGTCTCACTGCCTGGCCTGCATTAATGCCTCACCAGATGACCTTAGACATCGGACATGGAGTGGCATTAAATTCTATGTCAAAAATAGAATCACTGCAATTCGAAAACAAAATCTAAAATAAAATTCCTTTAAAATAGTTGTTTGGTTTCTATTGACTGTTTTGTATTACTTAAAGTCTTGGTAAAAAAAGATTATGTCTATGGGTCCCATTCTGAACGGCCCTGTCAAAGGGACCCACCAGGTAACAAAAACGTGTATGTGTGTGTGTGTGTGTGTGTGTGTGTGTGTGTGTGTGTGTGTGTGTGTGTGTGTGTGTGTGTGTGTGTGTGTGTGTGTGTGTGTGTGTGTGTGTGTGTGTGTGTGTGTGTGTGTGTGTGTGTGTGTGTGTGTGTGTGTGTGTGTATTTGGGTAATAAAAAGCGTCATGGGGATGCTCTGATTATTTTCCAGCCGGCTAAGCACCAGCTCCTAGACTCCGAGCTTCAAATGTGTCTGCAAATGTAAACTTAACCAAGCAATAGTTTCCGACATGATGCAGGCAAAAAGGCAGGGAGAGAAGTGTCCTGCAAACTTCAACTTGATATGTGTCCCAAAATGCAGTCGGGCTGGGTTATAAAGGTGAAACTCGAATATTGATCAAAAGTCCATTTACTTCTGTATATGACAAATACATTATATACAAAGAGAGATTTATGAAGCCTTTAGTTGTTGACTATAATGTTGATAATTAGCTCACAAAAAAATAATATTGTGAAAATGGACTGTAAGGCATAATCTTCACAATTCATCCATTTTCTTTCACTTTATCCATCGCCGGGTCGCAAGGACAGAGCCGCCCAGATCTCATCCTTTCAGTCATTACCCGAAGCTCATGACCAGAGGTGAGGGAGGGAGCGGAGATTGAGCGGTAAATAAAGCTTTGCCTTTCGACTCAGCTCCCTCTTCACCAAAACAGTCCGATACAGCTCTGACTGCAGACGCTGCTCCCTCTTCACCACAACAGTCCGATACAGCGACCACATCACTGCACACGCTGCACCAATCCATCTGTCAATCTCACGACCGCCCTTCCCTCACTGTGAACAAGACCCAGAGACACTTGAACTTCTCCACTTGAGAAAGGACCTCTCCTCCACCTGCAGAGGGAAAGTCACCTTGTTCCGGTCGAGCACCATCGCCTCAGATTTGCTAATTTTATCCCAGCCGCTTCACACTCGGCTGCAAACCGTCCCAGAGCTTTTATTGGGTTCACATGTTACGTTGAATTACTGAAATAAATGAACAATAGTCTAATTTTCAGAGTGGCAGAATTACAAGTGTGAACGAGCTGGTACTTGCTCGTCAAATAAGACCAGAGAGATTTTTCAAAAAGTGGAGAGAAGGCGGTTTGTTCCTAAAATTTGGGAAAGTCCTCCTATATATCTTTAAATACCTCAAGTAAACAAATAAGCCTAAATTCCATACTTAAATGCCAAAAATAAATGGTGTATTTTTCATTGACCTAATTCACGCTAACCACACACAAATAAAAGTTAGAAAACCTCCCCAAAAAAAGCAGTCGTTCTTGAATGAAAATCGCACCAGTGTATATGGTCATTTTCGACGTGGATCTCTTCAATAAATCTTTCTTTTCATACCCGCTGTTCAGTCATGCGACATCACAAAAGCTCCAGCCCTGCAGCCATTACGACCAATGTCACAACTGAGAGCATTCAAACAGATGAGCTCCACCAAGAGAGACCTCCAGCTGTATCCCACAGTCAGGCTGCAGAGTGCACGGACATTTTTATGTTTCTCGTCTCAAAGGCCTCACAAATAGGCACTTAATCACTTTAAAGGCCTTATAAGCTTTCGTTTTCCTTGTTTGTGGCTTCGTTAACCACAGATGAGTGAGTGGTAGAAAAGACACGATCCTCTACCACAGGCTTTGCTGATATTTGCTTGAATATGAAGATAGTAGAAAAGCACAGAAAAAGATATTTGAAAAGTTCTTGTGGAAAAGTGGATAATCACATTTTATATCCACAGATGTCACTAACATTTTATGAAATACGGGATGAATATTGTCATAAATACACCCTTTTTTAACACTTTAATAAAGGCTATAAAAGCAATGGAATGGTGTATACTGACAGTTTGATAATAACTATGCCTCAACCTGGGGACAAGATCAGAATCCAATCTCAGATCCCAGCAAATGTATCATTCCAAACTGATTACTTAACCCTATACATAAAACAAAACAAACACATGCAATTACACAGTATTAGTATTATACATCCATCCATTTTCTTCCCCTTAATCCATTTCTGGGTTGGAGGCTGGCAGTCAGAGCTGCACCCATTACACAGAGCACCAGCCCTCACTGATCCTTCTGCAGATGGTGAGTCCACAGGAAGACGGCTGCTCTACTCTGGACCGCCTTGATTTTTCAGTGGGGCTTCAGGCAAAGTGGGGTTAAGTGTCTCGCCCAAGGACACAACGACAGCAGACATCAGTGGAAGTTGTGAAATAGGTATCAGAATCAGAATCAGAATCATTTTTATTGCCACGTAAGTAACAGGAAGTCACAGACTTGGAAATGTCTTAGGCTCAGTGCAACAGTCAGAAAGAGATAATTTAAAAAAAGGTATCGTGGTGGGCTTGAACTCACAACCAACGGAGCCACTGTTGCCACTGTATTAGCATCATTTGAAAGGAAATTGGGCGACAGTAGCTCAGTTGGTAGAGCATTGGTCTTTAGGCCTGAAGGTTGTGGGTAGAAAATGGATGGATGGATGGAGAAAGGAAATTGTTGAAGGCCTCATAAAACATTATGATGGCTCACAGTATCAGTTCTTAAGCCTTTAGGTGTCTGGGTTTTTTATGTGAAGGTGTAAGAAAAATATAGAGACACATTTGTGGGAAGCAGGTGGCAGTCTTTATAAAGCCTAACATTTTGGCACAAACCTCCTGTGAATGTGAGGAGATGACGTTTTGTAGAATCATTACCAAACATTGTTATATACAGTAATAATAAAGGTCCAGGACATGTGTTGGTTGTGATGTTGCTTTGACTACGGCAAAAACAAGGAATGAGGCTTTATCTGAGTCACCTCTAATTCACTTACGCCGCACACAAGAGCTGAAAACAGACTCTGAAGGGGAAATGTGTAAATGACCGGAGGAGGCCAGGGATGGGAGCTTATTTTGAGCCCGGAAATTATGCTGCAGCGGCACAAAAACTGGGGGAAAAAGCTTGTGTGTGTGTGTGTGTGTGTGTGTGTGTGTATAGTAATCAAAAGTGTGTGAAGGTGAGACGTGTATAATTCTGTAGAGGATATTACAGAGCGCAGCAGCCAAACTTTGATGCAAAATTTAGCAAAAATGAGAAAAGAGCAAATTTTGGTCTTCTATTAAAACATCTGCATATACAGACACTGACATGTTACAGCTTTAAATAAAAAAAATAAAAAAATATTCCAAATCATGTATAAATCATTTGTTTTCAGTGCATTGAAATATCCCTTTTATGCATAAACCATAATCACATCTGCTCAGGGGCTTCTCTGACAACAACTTCTCCCCAACCTCCATTTTAGCTTCTCATTAGAGCACTGCGTTTATGACATCATGCTAACCCGACCCTCTCCTCCGTATAGCTTTAATTTCTCGGGCCCCTCGTTCATCATAACACCATAACAACTTGTCGTCTCAATGGTCGGTGACGAATCCACTTTGCAACCGAGCTCATCAACAGCGTCGTCATTAGGAGAGTCGGAGTCAGAGAGCTCAGTAATTGGGTTAAGTCGTGTCACCGTGTGTCTGTGCGGGTCGGCGTTTAAGCCTCTCTGACGGTCAAGTCTCACTGCTGCCCAATGTACCGCAGCAGATTACGTTCACAAAGCACTAGTGAAAACTCGGGGAGCTCCCAAACTGTCATGGTGCGGATATTACATTTTTTACTTTGGTTTTAATTTGAAATGATTTCTCTGCAGTTTGGTTTCAGTTTTGACTTCCTGTCCTGTTTCCTCTGTGTTGATTGTCTGCCCCGCCCTGATGTGTTATACCTGTGTCTATGTGTGTCTTTATGTACCTGTGTCTATGTGTGTCTTTATGTACCTGTGTCTATGTGTGTCTTTATGTACCTGTGTCTATGTGTGGGTATATGTACCTGTGTCTATGTGTGTCTATATGTACCTGTGTCTATGTGTGTCTATATGTACCTGTGTCTATGTGTGGGTATATGTACCTGTGTCTATGTGTGTCTATATGTACCTGTGTCTATGTGTGTCTTTATGTACCTGTGTCTCTGTGTGTCTATATGTACCTGTGTCTCTGTATGTCTATATGTACCTGTGTCTCTGTGTCTATATGTACCTGTGTCTATGTGTGTCTATATGTACCTGTGTCTCTGTGTGTCTATATGTACCTGTGTCTCTGTGTGTCTATATGTACCTGTGTCTCTGTATGTCTATATGTACCTGTGTCTATGTGTGTCTATATGTACCTGTGTCTCTGTGTCTATATGTACCTGTGTCTCTGTGTGTCTATATGTACCTGTGTCTCTGTGTCTATATGTACCTGTGTCTCTGTGTGTCTATATGTACCTGTGTCTCTGTGTGGGTATATGTACCTGTGTCTATGTGTGTCTATATGTACCTGTGTCTCTGTGTGTCTATATGTACCTGTGTCTCTGTGTGTCTATATGTACCTGTGTCTATGTGTGTCTATATGTACCTGTGTCTCTGTGTGTCTATATGTACCTGTGTCTCTGTGTGTCTATATGTACCTGTGTCTCTCTGTGTCTATATGTACCTGTGTCTCTGTGTGTCTATATGTACCTGTGTCTCTCTGTGTCTATATGTACCTGTGTCTATGTGTGTCTATATGTACCTGTGTCTCTCTGTGTATATACAGTATGTACCTGTGCTCCTCTCTTTGTTGCTGGTCCATTGTATTGCCAATGCCTGTCCCCTCCTGTTCCTTGGTCCTTGTTCCTTGTGCCTTTGGATTTTGAGTTTGTTTTCACCTGGACATTTATTTTATTATCCTTAAACTGTTATTTTTTTTGGCATTCCTGCATTTTGGGTCCTTCCTCCTTTCCACCACGTGACACAAACTCCACTTAAATTCAGGTAACCAAGAAGCCTGTAAACCTGTGCGCTCGAATTGAGGTCTATTTGGAATCACAGCATCGAACCCTTTTACTCTGACTGAGCTGCCATGTAACTAACCACATAACCCGGATCCTCCTGAGACACGGCCGCCAGACACATTTAAGAGCTCAGGAACAGCCATGCTTGTATTAGAGGTCTGTGTAATTCAGGGGTGTCCAAACTTTTTACTTAGAGGGCCACATAAGTTCACCAGACTAGTCTATGGGCCGACGTCACGGACTGAATAACTGGCATCGGGCTGTTCTGAGCTTTATGATGATCTACAAAGCTGAAGTTGGCTGAATGATAAACGTTTACCATCTCACCAGCTACAGAAGCACTATTACTACTACTAACTACTTTGGGTTAGCACGGCAAAGGGCCACAGAAAATGACACTGAGGGCCGCAATTGGCCCCCGGGCCTGAGTTTGGACATGCCTGGTGTAATTGAACGCATAAAGGAAAAACAGTCTCTCACTTCCTTGTTTTGTGTGTGTTTTTTACATGCATTTTAAATAAGGTTTGTTTATTTGTGCTGAGTTAACGGACTTGTGCCGCTGCAGTTGAGCATGTGTGAAGATCAAACACTCTGTACAGTAAACAAGATGTATATGTTTGCCAAATGTGTGCTTATGATACTTCATTAATAATGCATCAGTTTTATATACTGCTAGCTCTTATTTGGACGCTCTGAGACACTGTAATTATGTGCTGAGGGAAGTTATGAGATTCCTTTGAAAGTGACATAAGGCAAAAGCTTCTCCGCAGAATGCACAGAGAATGCAAAGAGACGGGGCAAACTTACTCATTATTATCATATCATCACGTTATTAAATATGTGGCTTACGGTGAGCTATTCTTAAAGTGTAATAATAATAATAAAAAATAATGATAATGATAATGCACCAGTTTTTAGGACACTTTCATTCCATACACTGGTGATAGACAACTACTGCCACAGCTGCCCTGGGACACACTGACAGAAGCGAGGCAACCATTCACACACACATTCTAACCAAAGTGTCTTGCCTCAGGATACAACCACAGTTTAGCACTTTACAGCCGCAGCCGCCTCACTGTGTCCCCTGTTGTTCTCAGAGGTCTCCCATCACAGCACTAACCAGGCCCTGCCCTGTCTAGCTTCAGAGGTCTGACAGAATCTGGCTTTCACATGCAGTTATGACCATACTCAGCCTTGCATGAATCTTCCTTGAGTGATCGTGGTGCATATTCTCACCACTGACACTCTACCTCAGGGCAGCTGTGGCTGTAAAGTGCTTGACCACCGCTGGGAACGACCTGAATGAATAATGCAAAGTGAAGCCACCAGCACTAAAGAAACCAGGAAGTGCAAGAGATCACACAGGCCTCTGATTGGATGCCTCTGGAGATGAGGGAAATGCCAGCTGGCGGATTTGAATGACAATACTGGCACAGAGAGAAGCCATTTGGGAGGTGCGTCTGTGTGCGTCTGTGTGCGTCTGTGTGCGATGCTATTTTTGACGTGTTGCTTACTTTGAGTTGATCCCTGGGAAAGTCTTGGCCGTCGTTCAGCCCCTCCAGGTTGGAAATGAACTGCGTGCATGACATCCTCTTGCCAATGTTCTGTGAAATTAAATAAATAGATTGTTGGCGCTCACCATCTCTTGTTTTCTTTTCTTAGTTTTTTTTTGTTTTTGTGTCTAATTATAGTGATTCTCAAGCATGTTTCAACCAGCTGTATAAAGCTACAGGGAATGAGCAATGAGGATTTCATAATTGAGTTCCCTGAAATTATATAACAATCATTTCATTTATAAATTTGTAGCAATTAATCAATAACTTTGGTATTGTGGTGGAATATTTAGCATGTATGTGTGAGTTCTGAATAAAACATGTCTGGATCTCATATTAAATGCACAATGATAGAGCACGTTTTCACACGACAGTCTGGGTGCAAAGTGGAATCTGAAACATTTTGTCACGTCGCTGTGTTGTTAGTGGTCTTCCTGCGATCTTAATTATCTAACAGATGACGAGTCAGAGCCGGTGCGGTCCCACTTGTTGAGACACTGAAGAAGAAGACTGAGTATCTTGTCGCCTCTGAAGACACTTTAATGAATCATTCATTTGCAGAGATGAGATCGCTGAAAACAGCCGACTCTGGCCCAGATTTACAGCCAAAGAGTCACAGCTATAAAGTTCTGAAACCTGTGGATCAAATTTTCCCCATAGAGATTATTATTCTGACATCATATTTATCCAATATTCAGCACAAATGTGTCTGAGCGATTGCAATGTGTTATAACCCATGACTACTACAAAACCATGATTATTCAAGATGATCAAAAATAATCCCAGTTTTATTAATTTGACACGTATTACATTGGACAGACCAGATGCACTGCCTTTAGAGATGTAAAGTAAGTATAAAGGCAGACTAAAAATGTACAAATGTACACTTAGTCAAACAGTTTCAAACTGAAGATGTCAGAAGTCAGATTCCAGTTTTAAGTCGGAGGGAAGAGCGTTCCTCAGTCTGGCTCCATTAGAGGAAAAGGGGGCGTGTCCAAAAGATACACAGTCTCCACTGAATGACGCTTTGAAACTAAAACAATCTTATGCTTGATATTTATGAATCCCTGCAGTCTGGCAACCTTCTGGTCGTTCCTCATGAAAAACAGAAACTAGGAGAAGCAGCTTTCTCTAATTATGCTCCTTGTAAATTGAGCGCTCTGTCTCTGCTGACGTTGATTGTGCTCCAACAGAAAATTATAAAACTCATTGATAATATAGATAGATACGATATTTTAGATACGTCTCTATTTTGTTAAATATTGTCGCATTAAGTTTGGATTCATTTTTATATTCACAATTTCACTTCCTGGTTGTAAATGATGACATCACAGAAGGGACGAAAACTCGCAAAATTCCTCCAATGTAAAATACAAACAAACTCTCAATCTCGCTCCTGTGATGTCATCAGTTCTAAAAGTTAGCATAAAAATTGACTCCTTTTCATCCCACATTTTTTCCACAAACAGTAACTTAATCTGTGGGGGAAAAAAATAATATTTTCTTTAAAACGGGTCTCATTCCACCAGAAAAGTCTAAAATCCTAAAAACTGTCACATGCATTTAAAGACACACCATCTACTCTTGAATTGTGATGGGTTGGTTTGATATTCGTGAATGGATAAAGTTTTTTGGAGCTGTGTCACTTTGAAACTACTCACTTGACCGTGCAGATCAGTGTTAAGCAGCATTAGGGCACAGGTGAGCGTGTGGACTGCATCTGTTAGTAAAACAAAAATATGTAAACGTGACAAAATAAGTTTATAACGTGAAGAAATAAATACTGAGCTTGAGCACTGACACACTATGGGAGGAAGCACAAAGCAGAGCAGTGTAACAGAGGACACACACACACACACACACACACACGGGGCGAGGTCGAAGCCTTACCCTCGGAAGGAACCACTTTGGGATTGCAGTCAAAGTACCGTCTGGAGAAATGGGACAAGACCCTCTCCCTCTCCTGAGTCTCCCCCACCAGAGCGAACTGCTTCAGGAACACCCTGGGGACAGAGACAGGACGAGCTGAGTGACCTGTGCAATGGGAGACCTCGCAACAGTGCCACCTACTGGGCAAAAGTCAGACTCTAAAGGTAAAGGTAAAGCTGCACTTTACTGATCCCCGTAATGCAATTGATCCTCTGCATTTGACCCATCCTGATGCCGCTAAGGCTTACGTCAGGAGCAGTGGTCGATGTTGATGCTCGGCTTGGTCAGGACCAGAGCTGGAGGATTTAACCGAGTGTGCTGCATGTTTTTATTGGTAGGGGAAACAGGAGTACCCGGAGGAAACCAACACAAACAAGGGGAGAACATGCAAAAATTCACTCAGAAAGACCCCAGAGTGCTATCTCCTCAGCCAACATGCTGCCCTCTTGCTTATTTATTAGTAGTAGTAGTAGTAGTAGTAGTAATTATTTTCTTCGGCCAATATGTACAGCAGATCTCAGGTCACATGTTTTCAGAGATCCCATATACATTTTACAACAAGAAAAAAACAAGAACCAAAATGTGTCCATTAAGAACCTTAGTGCGAAACAATGCCTGAGCGAAAGGGGTTGAGTTCAGTTTCTCGTTGGTATATATCGTAACGACAAATCAAAATGATGTTATACATGATAAACATTTTAGATGACGCCATATGCATTTTCACACAACTTGATCACACAACTATGATCAAGTTAGCGGTTCAGACCTGGTTCAGACCTGGTTCAGACCTGGTTCAGACCTGTTTCTTGCAACTCACAGCTTTATTCATTAAACATTTGTGAAGTACATGTCGTAGATGTTTTCACCGTCGCAGCACATTGGCTTCAAGGAATTTTAAAAACTCACACACAGCTTAGACTGACCAGTAATCACTTTCATTCTGTGTAATCTACTTTTCTCATTTGGTAACAATTGAAATACAGAAGAGCACTGCGTTCCCTTGAATTAAAAAAGTTTCTGTTTTTATGAGAAAAGTTTTGCTTTTCAGGACAGTCAGAGTCTAGCACCAGTTTTGCAGTGTAAAGTGAATAACATCCGAGATTTAGTTAGTGACGGTTTAAAGTGAATGTAATACGCTTTCGTAACCTTTTTTGCTTGGTTATGGTATCGATTCTAATCCGGTAAAGTCCCAGGTGGGAGGTGGGGCATGGAACAGCAAAAAGGAGCAGAGCTATTATTGAAACAAGTCCTATGTGCACCATGTTAGTGACCCCTGCAGAGAGGGTCACGATGGGAAGTAGTAATGGTATAATTATAATCAAAAGTACACATATTTCCTCATTTTCATATTTTAAAGACTGGGAGAGCTGACCAAGAGAGAAAAGAGTTGTTGTTTGATGTTACCGTAAAGCCTGGTCGAGCGCGAGGCCGGAGAAGTTGAAGAAACACAGATACTCCTCTGCGACCATCCGACTGAAGTCATTACTGCAAACACACAGAGATAGAATCTATTTATTTTGGCTAATGCACATAGTTTTTGGTACTTTTTTCACACTTTTCTATCACTATGTGTGAAAAAATCTATCTTACAATGTACAAATTATAGTTTTATATTATTAAATTTCAACATTTTATCCAGCATTTGTCTAGATAGGTAAGAAAGTAAAAAACCCAGATTGTCAGTCAGACACAGATTGTCAGTGGAGCCGCTTGACTGACAATCTAAGTTTTACAGAGACACTGAGCTGGAGAAGTATGATGGTAACTTGAGCACTATCTTCTCCTCTCTCCAACTTAATCTGTCGTCATTATCACTTCAGCTGTAGTCTGTTCATTGCTATTGCTGTGCCATGGCGTGCTGACGGGACCCCTGTATCTGGCCTCTCATACCTGCACCTGTGGACTGGTCAGAGCCTATTCAGTCCAGGGTCTACAGTTTTAGTCTTGGATCTACAGTTTGAGTTCTGAATCTAGAGGCTGTCCGTCCATCGCAGCGAGTTTTTGAGTGGTCCCCTGTGGATGCGAGACGGTCTGAGGACATTGATGATCCAGGAGATTTTTGGACATTTATCAACATTTACATCGGTCATCCTGCACTGAGGACCAATAACTCCTGTGTTCACCATCACTAAAATAACAGGTTTAGTTATGATGATGGAAAGTGAACGTGCCTTATCTTTTGTCATGCAGCTTTACAGTCGGCATAATCCAATAAATGTCACAAAATATGATTATAGTTAATTCAATCAATCCATATATTTTGAAGGATTTTTCTGCTGCTACAGTATGTAATGTTTGTTTCAATGATAAAGTATTTTTTGGACTTTGGCATGTTCACATTTTTATGGAATTCTCATCTCGAAAGCTGCACATCTACAAAGGATGAGGAAGTGGTCGTGGCAACTTTTGTACATGTCAATATGCATAGGGTGTTGTAATAAATGTTTTGGATAGCTGCGTGTGTCACTCACTTCTTGCTGAGATGCCGGGCCACGTCAGATTTCCGGAAGCCGTCCAGATTGAAGAGGCGTTTGGCGAGTCTCTGCGCGGCCGCCAAGTCTGCGCGGTGGCTGCCGTTGGTCAGAGTGTCGCTGGTGCTCAGACCCAGGCGCTCGCTCAGGTCCTGGTCCAGCTCTGAGTCTGTGGCCAAACGGGCCTTCTCCCTGCTCCGCAACACATCAATAATTCAGAATCCAATGTTAAAAAGAAGAGCTGGGAATTATAACCAATACTTCACCGTGTTAATAATGTAGACAGACTCGGGCTTCAGCTGAACTAAGTGTCTCAGACAGAAATAGCAAAAGCCATTTCAAACAAATACCAATGTTTAATGTGTTACGTTGAAAATACAGAATATAATTTTTGGCGAGTTAGTTTCAACAATTGTAACAACAGCCGTGTGACTCTCAAACTGTGATCTGTGATCTGCATTCACAGAGCTCTTTTACAATAATGTAGACAACTATAATCACACTTATTTGTGGATCATTATTATCTAAATGCACAGTTGTTTCGGTTTGCACCCAGGCCTGTTAGTGTTAGTGTTGGGGTCGATGGCCTCAGAGTCAGCCTAAATATATGTTTATCTAACTCCAACCCAATTAATTGCCTTTTTGAAGATGAGAAAATACTGAACTTAGCAGAAAATGTGGTATTTTTTGTGTTTTTAAGGCAGAAAAACAAGTGATTTATAGTGAGTTTGTGTAGTGTTGTATAGATGGATGTCAGAATGTGGGTCAGACACACAATTCGAATAGTTTTGAGCGCTTTGGTCACGCCCCGTTTTAGTCGACCAATCGATCAAATAAACATTTCTTTGGTCGACGACAGCCCTATAGTCAGGGGGTCGATGCTTTCTGTGAGGAGTTTGCATGTTCTCCCTGTGTCTGGGTGTGTCATGGAACTCAACTCTATTTGGGCAAATCTGTTTATCTCATTGATGAAATTGAAAATGCAGAAAGTAGTCCCAAAAAACCACTGCATCAAATCTGCATCTACTTGTAAAACCAATCACGCAGAGCTCGATCCATCAATGAAAGTTTTGGGAGCATGTTAACTGTGTGATTGAGGCTACAATATTTCTGCTCTGAAAAAGCTGATGAAAAATTCCTCCAATGTTGCGATTCTTTCTCATTTTTTAATTGCTTGTGGGAGTTACCATGCTACAGTAACAGAGCACAACAACACAGATTCATCTTTCTATTATGTATATATTTTCAGCCTGTTTCTAAAGACAAAACTATCTTTGAAATCTGATCCACTAAGTACAACAATGAAACCACAATCCGTGTCTCTCTCTCTTTCTTCCTTCTTTCTCTTTTATTCATGTTTTGTCTGGTCAACGCTGCGCCCGTTATAAAGCATCTACTAACCATTCCTGTCACACAACCCAGCGCAGAAAAACAATGACAGTCCAGCAGCTGAATACAGAAACTGCCAAACGTCCACACTTCCTGAGAGAGAGGGTTTCACAGCCGACAAACAAGTCAACACAACCAGGGCTGCTTTTGGTAACTAATATCAAGCCACTAATAACACAAGCTGTCGAGTTAAAAAAGCAACCAAGCATTATGAATGGGTAACTTTGTAGTAAACACACTGTATAATGGAATACACACCAGCATTATAACACCTGACACAATATTAGACGAAATACATTGTTGTTGCCAAGAATGGACTCCAGCTTGAAAGAACATTGGCCAGGACAGAAACAATACACTGGACGTTTGTCTATGTTGCCAGAATGTCAGATAAGTACAATTTCAATATAGAGTTGCTCGATAATACACCTGCTGAAAACAGATAAAAACTTGGGGTTTGCGCAGATGTAATCAAGTGCAGACGGCCGAGCGACGTAACTGCATTTTGACTCACATACAATATTGGTTTTCCGCTTACTGTACAAATCTCACGTGGCTGGTTCTTTTCCCGTGTGTGGGTGGGCTCTTCTTACCTGTGGAACGAGCGTTTGGGATGCATGGTTCTCTCCTCAGCTCGAGCTAGCTCACTTTGACAGCACGAAACAGACATGGTCCTCATCTCTCTCCTGTGTCCGTAGTTTTGCACTAAAACGGGTCTGGCGCCTCTGTCTCCCCCTCTCCTCCTCGGCCCATGACCAGACCTCATCCCAATCCCGCAAAAAACCGTCAATCTCCACCTCCACACTGTGTTCCCTTATTAAGCCCAATTGTAGCATTCCTGTGTGAACGCTGCTCCTCTCTCTGTATTTGCTGTCATCCGATCTTCACAACATGCCTTCTCCTTCCCCCAAAGTAAAATAGCAGATTTTCTTCCTAGAATACTGTTTTCTACTCCTCCCTCTCTCTCCCTTTTCCACTGAGTAAACTGTCCCCTACTGACCTTGTCTCCAGGGCTTGGCATGAAACTTGGGCTTGTCCACTGCCCCAAACTCACCACCGTTTAATCCGGCCTCTCACTTCTTTCATTCATTCCTGTTCCCTTTTGCATATCCAATTACACACAGTCAGTATAATAGTCTCACCCCATTTGGGGAGTTTTACCGGTTCGAGTCTTGTTATGATGTCTGCAGCGAAAATAAACATGAAAGATATCAGTTTTCAGCAATGGGAGTGTGTTTTTCCAATCAAACCCTATTCATTGTGTGTTTACTCACTGCATTGTGCTGTATAGATTTAGCCAGTGTTGTTAGTTTAGTCATCAAAAGGCCCTGAGAGAGAAGCTAATGTCAGTTTTAGACTCAACGCTAACCTCCTCCTGTCCCAGCTTTACACAAAGAGCCAGTGTCCAACGGGCCAGACTTTATGAAAAGGGGAGAGGCAGAGGGGAGGGGCGCACCAGAGAAATTCCAACTTTCATCAAACTTGCCTTCAAAAATATGCTTTCATTTGTTGGAGGTTTTGTTACAGTGTGAGATAAGAACACACAAATATCTGGCCTTGGCCGATAAGTCCACCCTGACTAGTTTCTCATACAGACAGTCAGTCTTATCAAATGCAGCTCGGTGGTGAAGGTGGACGGTGCGCAGCTAAATTAAATATTTCAGGGGGGAATTCCTTACTTACTTTTATTTCCTGTGGATTTATACAAAGCAGACTGAACTAAAAACACACGGCAATGTAGGCTTTCGTTCGGGATTTGAGCAAAATATGTCTTGTATGAAAAGAAAAACAGTTCATAACATATTTTGATGGAAAAATAATACTTATCTTGATTTGAGGAGGTTTTTAGATAGGAAAAGAACAAGCACAGAATGTCTTGTGTTTCTTAGATAAGCAAAAGACAAGACATTTCGCACAATAAACTACTGCACATGAAGTAGCTGAGGCTCTAAAGTGCTAAACTATTGTTGTGTCCTGAGGCAAGACACACATTAATTAGTATTAATCTGGTGTATATATGTGTAAGTAAGTATAAGTAAAGTTTATTTGTATAGAGAGATCACAAAGCGCTTCACATTTAAAACATACAGATAAATGTGTGTGCGTGTGTGTGTGTGTGTGTGTGTGTGTGTGCGTGTGTGTGCGTGCATGTGTGTGTGTGTGTGCGTGTGTGTGTGTGTGTGTGTGTGTGATTGGTGAAGGTCAGAGGGGCCTCACTTTCGTCAGTCTGTCCCAGGGCAGCTGTAGTACTACCACTGTGTACGAAGTGATTGTATAATGACATGCACCGTTCCTTTGAGTTCAGTCCTGAAAAGCACTATAAAGATTATAGAATTCATGATTATTATTGTTTTAAATTTTTTCTACTTTTCTATCATTATATTTGTTGCTTTTCCAGTTTATTTCAGAGTATGTTTTAAGTGCAGTAGTTTTATAGTTTAAAGGGAGATTTTTATTGTCATTGTTTTTCTAAGCAAGGGGAACATTATGGCTGTGTGGAGCTTGCATGTCCCTTCCCATCTCTGGGTGAATTTCCTCCGTGCACTCCGGTTTTCCTCACCCCCAAAAACAAGCACCAAAGGCAGATTCCTCCAGATGCTGAGCAAGACGACTGTCATTCTGGAGATATACCAATAATATGATATAATACACAATACAATATATTATAAGATATACGGTGTAAAAGCTGGTTTCTTCTGCCCTCTAGTGGCCGCAGACTCACATTGTCAGAGTGCAGTCCCGCCTGCTCCTCTGCAGTGTCGTTTACCTCCAGTGACATTCTCAAACAAAGAAGCTGCACTCTCATTAGAGAAGTTTAAGCCCAGAGGACAGATCAGTTTATAATTGCTCTGCACTTTACTGTTATGTAAATGAATGCGGCTCCATCTGAATTCTAATACAACTCTGGTGGAAGTTTGGAGTATGAACTTCATAATAATAAGAAGAATAATGCATCAGTTTTATACAGCACTTTTCAGGACACTCAAAGACGCTTCATATGTCATTATTTATTCACTCCATAAACTGTGGTGATAAACTACTACTGTAGCCACAGCTGCCCTGGGGAGCATTGACAGAAGTGAGGCAACCAGTCTGTGCCATCGGCCCCTCCGACCACTACCAACCATTCACTCACACACCAGACTCAATCTAGCCAATGTGGGTGAAGTGTCTTGCCTAAGGACACAACAACAGTTTGGCACTTCACAGCCGCACCACTGTGGCACCTGGTGTTACCAGAGGTCCCCCATCACAGTATTAACCATGCCCTGCCCTGCACAGCTTCAGAGGTCTGACGGGATCTGGCTTTTGCAAGTATGGCCACAAACTTGCATGCATTAATAACAACAAATAGAAAACATTATGTACACATACATATATACATATATAAAAAATATCACTATAACTATAACATTGGTATAACACAGTCCTACAAGCCTAATTTCCTATAAAATACTGTAAAACACATTAACATAATAACTGCAAAATCAGAAAGAAGTTGTTACGAAGTGCATGTTGCGACAGTCAAGGTGATCCCTCTTCACTGCAGCTCTGTCAGACGGCCCAGAGGGAGCCACCTGTACTATCATCCTCACATAAAGCTAATGAGGCTAACACACCCACACGGAGCTGTACGCTCCGGACACCACTGCTCCTCGAGAACCACATGTGTGAGTCCTGGAGCCGTGTGGTCGACCTTCACTGTCTGCGCTCAGCTCTGTAATAGCACTGCAGCATTTCTCTACACCAGGATAATGACACAGACAGAAGCGGCCTGCTCCCACTGACAGCAGCTCATTAGAGAGGCTGGGACCGAACAGACATTAAAATAGCATCAACATCCACAATCCACTGTCTGCAGTTCAATACGCAAAAAATGTATACAGTCAAAGTAAGACAAGCGAGCCTTTTGTGTGGAATTTAGAAACAAATGACAAGTTTACATCAAGCATTCGCTCCACGAACCGGACAATTTTCCCTTAAACTCCAGTTAACATTGACAGAAGCCTTTAGAGTGGAAACAAATGGCTGGACCAATGTACTTCAAATCTCTGTATAAATGTCACAATCTCTGCACAGAAGAAGAATCTAAGTAAGTAGGGACCAAAAGTAAATCCGGTCCTTGATGGGGTTCAACTATGTGGCTGTATTCGTAGTATGTAAGGTTTGAATTTGAAAATATACCAAATAAGTTCAACACCTAATCCTCTGGTGGTAGAAGAGGGAATTACATGCTGTGACTGTTTATATTCATGTTTATCAATATATTTTATTCTTAAGTCTGGGGTGCCGGTCAAAGAAGGCATACAAATAAACTATGTATAAATATACCTGTAACTAGTGTGTAATTTAGGCTCTCTTCTTCAGATCAACTTTTTCAGGCAGAAAAGTGAACCACCTTCACTTAGCCAATCAGCTCTCAGCCCAATGGCTCAATTAGTGACTGGAAAACTTGCACTGCTGTAGTCACTTTTAATTTTGATTTTATTGTACATAATATATCATGCACAAAATGGACTATTTTAACCTTTTAATATGTTTTCACACTCCCTGTTTTTACACAACCTTCTATTTCTGCCAAATTTCTCCATTGTGAGATCAATAAAAAGATCAGTAAAATCTTATCTTAACGTAAAATAATGTATCCCAGCTTTAAGAAATGATTACACACGATATAACATGAAAATGCCAAGTAGTCTCATTATCAACAAAGATAATACATTATATTTCTTCATTAAGTTCTTAGGTAAATGTAATGTTCTTATTTTGCTCATCAGATTTGAATGAAGAATATAAAATGAAATGTTGTGTAAAATCCCAGAATAACTCCAGCTGCTTGTTTGAACTGTGTAGTATATAATCTCACTCACTTGATGATGGGGAAGGACGAGCTGCTGTACCAGGTGCCTCCTCTGTGCTCCGCCTCTCGCCTTCGTGGCGGCGTGCTCTCGGACCCGCTGCTCAGCCTCTCGCTGGACGGGGCCCTGGTCGCATCCGAATCCCCGCCCCCTCCCATGGTGAAGATGGAGTCGGACACGCTGGGCCTCTCGTCGTGGGCCAACGGAGCGAAACTGAGCTGCACAATCTGCCTGGCGCTGTGGCACACCGGCCCGTGGATGGCCGGGGTCAGCGTGGGCAGGTCGAAACTCAAAACCGTCTGCGTGGTGGAGGTCAGGATCTCCTCGCTGTCCAGGCTGTTGTAGGACGTCCCCTTGGCCCGGTGCGACTCCATGATGCTCTCAAAGTGGCGACTGAACGTGTCCTCTGCTGCGAGCTTCGGACCGGACACCAGGATGGGGGATTTCAGGGCTGGGTGGTGGTTGTCAAAAAAAGTTTCCTCTGGCCTGTGCAAAAGGGAGGAGAGAGACTTTGACGCATACCAAAAGCATTGCTCTGTGTGCGCCTCAAACCACCCACTGCATTTCTAATAAAGAGTAGGAATGGGAGAGGCCTCTGTGGTCAGTTTGGAAGTTGTAGTTTTATTTAGTTCATGGTATACATCCACAAACACATATTGTTTTTATAAAAGGAAAGTGATGTGTTAGAGCGGCAGTCCAGGTGAGTTCAGCCATGACCGAACCTTGAAACATTGAGTTGATAAATCTGTTCATGAAGAAATTTTCCAACAGCATCACAGAGAGAAGGTGGTATATACTGGATACAAGGACGGTCCAATTCTATCCAGAGCTTATAAAGAGGGAATTAAAGGTGAAGGGACAAGTGTTTTAAAGCGTTTTGACCTCATTGTAAAAAGTGATTGCTGTAAAAATTCACGTAATTCACTGTAAAAAGTGAAATTGCTCAAATTTAGAAAAAAATATCTTAATTTGAGCACATTTTGATCATAAAAAAACAATTTTGGCCAAAGGTGCAAGAAATGTCTGGCCTTGGAATGAGAAAATAAAGCAACAGTTCTTGATTTAAGACTAAAACAACCTGCCCAGGGACTACAGGTGTAAATTAGCACTGCTGCTACAACCTGGTACAAAGCATCTCTCCTTTTGGCTAATGTTTACTGTACACTGTCCCTGTAAAAATAAAAACCATACCATACCATACCATACCAAATGGGTTTGTCCCATTGGAGAATCTAGTTTTAACACTAGATTAAGAAAAACCACTGGATTCAAGTCATTACTAACTCATTGTTTTATCATTTTTCTGCAGTGCTGGGATTGAAATGTCGTGTAAACGTGGACAACACTTGGAAAGGAAGGTGATTTTTTTCAACACAAAATAAAATAACTAGTTGAAACGAACTCAAAATCAGTCTTCTACAACTTCATAAAGCAAAGAGAAACGGTAGTCGTCATTCTGCAAAGTATTGTCCCTTGTGCGACTCGTGTGCAGTTTTACAACCTTCTTTGTTTGACCCACATGTGAGCAACGAGCTTTGAAATAGTTTGCTTTTATTGCCGCCTAAATTACTTCTATAATTGGCCGTAGTGTTCCCACTTTCTACGGATCAAGTCAAAAGACGGTTTGAAATGGCGTTGTTTTAACCCACTCGGTGTGTAAAGAGGAGGCGGAAATGGGACTGAACTATGGCCTGCGTGATGGACTGTGGGGATAGTATTGTAATGGAGTAAAAAAATAATAATAATAATACTGCCATTCTACCTCATTATTATTGTTTGAACATATTATTAACAGACAATAACATCGTTTTGTTCGTCTGTTTAAGAGATTGAGAGATTCTTTATTCATCCCACAAACTTCAGTGTTGCATCAGTTACAGAACAGTAGGAATGAGGAGCACACAGCACAAGATAACAACAATAACTTTAAAAAAAAGAAATCTCACTCTAGCATCATCAAAATAAACAAGTACAACAACAATGACATTAGTAGTAGTAGTAATCTTTATTTATATACCGCCTTTTCACTGCAGATCAGCGCTTCAAAGCGGTTTACAATTGTAATTTTTGGGCATCTGTCCTCTCACTCCACACAGAGATGGGAGCAGGGGCGCCAGTTTTTAGTGGTAGGGGAAACCGGAGTACCCGGAGGAAACCTACGCAGACACGGGGAGAACATGCAAACTCCACTCAGAAAGGCCCTGGTCCAACCGGGATTCGAACCCAGGACCTTCTTGCTGACAGGTAAGAGTGCTAACCACTCAGCCACCGTGCCACCCATTAGCATAATATAGAAGTATAACACCAGTATAACTTTAGAAGAAGAAGAAGAAGGTCCTTTATTCATCCCACAATGGGGAAATGTCAGTTTGATGCTTACACATACACATCAAGGCAAGCAGCGAACATCACGTCCGCGCTCCTTTTGGGCAAAGTGGGTTAATACGACAGCAAACATCAGTGGGAGTTGGTGGAGAAGGTCTCGTGGTGGGCTCGAACCCACGACCTTTGGATTCAAAGGCCAATGCTCTACCAACCGAGCCACTGTCACCTCTCTTGCCACTTTTCCACTTTGGCATTGTAAGAAGCAAGTATCTAGTCTTGTGTGTTCTAGTGCAAGCCATAGTATATAGTTGTGTGTTTACATCTGTACAAAGTGACCAAGTAGAGCAGCAGTGGACACATGTGGTTCTGTATTGTGCATTATGAGTATCATCTAACTTCAGAAACATGTTTAGGTCACTTAAGCCTAGCGTACATCGACAGAGTAACTGGAGACAACTAGTTGCAAGGCGGCTTTTGGCAACTGAGAGTAGATGATGGAGATGATCAATTGAAATCGGTCGATGTGAGCGCTCTTACAACTGGAGATAAACAGTCGGTCTCCAGATTCAGTCAGTTGCCCGTGTTCTACTTTTCGGCAACTAGTTGTCCTCAGATCCAGAGATATCACCCGATGTGCGCGCTCCAACAACATGTGTGTATTGCACCCTCTACAGTTTATGTCAGAAAACACACTGTAGTTGAGGCCAGTTGCTGTCGATGTACGCGCTGTTATTCCCCAGACTGGCCTGATACAGGAGGTGCCCGTTTTTGCCACATTGTCGCTGTGTGCGGGGCAGCAACTCATATGCGACAGATAAAAACAGTTGCCGATGTACGCCAGGCATTATGTTTAGCTGTTGTGTCATCAGTGAATGTGAGCAAACCTATACTGTCTGCAGAAACTAAACCACTTCCTCTCTCTCTCTCTCTCTCTCTCTCTCTTTCTCTCTCTTTCTCTCTCTCTCTCTCTCTCTCTCGTCTTTGTGCGATGCGACTAAACTTGTTTGTGTTGTGTGAGTTTAGTTTGCATCGGTCACCTGTTGGGTTCGAACACCTCAGGATCGTCCCGGGAGCCGTGCAGTCTCCTCCGCTCATCCCCTTGCATCCGGACACTGGCCCAGCTCACCATCTCCTCCTCCTCTTCTTCCTCCTCTTCTTCCTCCTCCTCGCTCTCATCTTCATCCTGCTCCTCTTCCTCCACTTGTACCGAGTCATCTCCATTCGTCCTGTAGGGATTGTCGCCCCTGAGAGGACTGCTGTCAATACCTAGAAGTGAAAGTAAAAATGGATACGAGTTTGTTGGGATGTGTTGATGTTTTTGTGGTGTGATTACAATACTGTGGTGTGTTTTCTATCAGTCTGCAGCGGCGAGTGTAAAAGCCTGAAGTCTTAATAGTCACGTTTGTTTTGATTTACATTTTTGTTCTCCCTAAATCAGTCCGTTCAGTTATTGTTTGTGATTCATTGTTGTGGCTAAAACACAGGTCTTGAATAAATGATGCCATCAGAGGGCATTTGTGCTGACGTGCAGACCCTGTTTTATGTAAGATTTCAAAACTTAACACCTAACTAGGATGTGAAAGCAGCCAAACAAAACATGTGTGTGAAAACTGGTTTGGTTTTAGTTTTCACATTTTCTCCAAACAGTTTGAGAATGTGACTAGTTATGTCAATTTCATTTCATAGTTCTATTTTTTAGGTACCCCAGCTTTAATCAAGTACTTCTAGAAATATGGCAATTTCAAACAAACAACTCAAGTTTTTGGTAAAGTAGACAAAAGATATTTATGGATTCGAGGGTTCACTCTGGGAAGAATCCTATTCGAGTCCAGGTTTACCCAGTTATCTATAGTTTTCCATCCTCTTAGGAGCAGGTGTCGTTCATAATCAGCTCCCCTCGCAGAACATAACCCGACATTATTATTCTATTATGGCACTAGGAGCTTTCAAGTAAGTGCTGTGTGTCAGAATCGGGTACAGTAAATACATCTCTCCCCTACTGCCTTTGTAAGTTCTCCCAGGGAACCCCCGATACACCTCTCATTAATGAATTCTGATGCCAGGAGGGTGGAAGGGAGAAAAAAGACTTCAGGTCAGAGATTTAACTTTATTATGATATTTTGTACTCATTTGCTAAAGATAGATATATTATACTTGTTTCTTCTTCATGCTGGAGTTATGGACCTTGATACTAATACAAACTAAAATGTATGTATTCCTCTTTGAACAGGGTTATTCTGAAGTCTACATTGAAATATGTTATTGGAGTGATATCTCCCCATTGTGCATGGCTAAGATATGTTAAACTTTATTCATTTTCACAGTGGAGAAAGTGAGTTCCGCATGATGTCATTGTTTACCTGAGTTGCCCTGCACACTGCGGTTACTCCCAAACGCAGAGTCAGCATCGTCCTGTTCGCCCATCAGCACCTCGTCGATGTCCGTCTCCCTGTAGCATCTCAGGGGAACGGCATCCAGGTCTGTCTCAGAGTACTTCAGAGTCCTGCGGATGATGCCGGTTTTGGGGGACGTCCCGGCAGCAGCGGGGGGAGGAGTCACCAGCTCTACCTCCACGTGCTGCACCTCGTGATTGGCCGAGAGCAGAGGCAGAGAAGAAGGAGGGATGGGGGTCGGTGATTCACTAGATATTCCACTAGGGGGGGCTGTAGAGGTTTCAACGCCATCTGAGCAGAGAGGAATCGTTTAGATGTCATAAATACAGGGAATGGTCTGCATTGTTGTCTTGATGCCATGGATTTGATTCATAATTTGGAGCTACATGGTAAGAGAACAGACAGTTTGGTGTCATTGATATTATTTGATTTAACTAATGTATTCAAATGTAGATTTATATATATATATTTAAAAGGAAACACAGATCTAGGACAACAAACAAATCCTAGACATACAAAACAATATAGATATAAAACTGACAAAAAGACATTTGGTGATAAATCTATGTTTTAAAGGAGCCTCAATTAGCCTCAATTGTAAAAGCAATCTTGTGTAAAAATCATAGACTATAAAAAAAAAAAATCTTTTAGGCTTATTTAGGGAGATTTAGGTTTCAAAGAAGTAATTACATCATTGTTTTGGCTAGTTAAAGACATAAATGTGTTACTTATGTTCAGAACTGTTTTTGTGCTATGTATTTATTTATGTGTGTGTGTGTGTGTGTGTGTGTGTGTAACTGTGTGTTATTTGATATAATGTGATAGTTTGATAAATAGCTGTCACATTATATTCCATAGGTTCTCCGTCTTGTCCATGGGAGCGGTGCAGAAGCAGTATGGCCCAGGTCCAGATTCGATAACATAAGAGAGCTGATTTGCATAGATGACAGAAAAGTGTGTTAAATATTCTCACTCTTCCCCCTCCTGCCAGCAGCCTCCTCAGCAGGGGTCCCGAACAGAAACTCCCACTTTGCCCGAGCGATCTTCTGACAGTGGAGCGAGGGCACAGGGAATGCACTGCCGCTGTCCGTCTGAGGAAGCATTTAGACACCAGTGTTCATACAGATAAGGATCTCTCTACAAGTTTGAATACAGTAGATGCAGAAAAAAGGACTGGTCTGAGGTAATTGAGTAAAAGCAGAAGTATAAAAAGCACTTCTGGTAAAAGTATTGAATTCATTTCTGTATTTATTTCCACCAACTTGTTGTGTGGCCTTTAACAAATGATTCTCATAATTCTGAAGTATGAAGCACACATTTTTGTTTGTACTTAAATCAATAATAAATACATACATTGACAGATAGTATACATATTTTAGACATTTTAAGCATCGTCTTTGAAACCCTTAAACAACATTATACTGGTGAGTATGACAATATCTTTCATGTAAGCATGGCTAACCTCTTCAAAATGTGAGCAGCAGAAAGTACAGAATGTAGGATTAAAAGTATGGAGTTCTACTGTACGTTTAATATTGTTAGAAAATAAGTGGAAAAGAACTTTGGCACTTCATAAAAAATATTTGCCACCTCTGAGTAGAACCAACAAACAGTTATCATTACACCAAGTAGACAATGGTCATAATGGCTTTTTTATGTTCACTTTTTGTATACTGTTATTGATGGAATTTGAATTTTATTGGAACGGTCCAGAGAGAAATAAAACTACCACGACGAAGACAAATTGATTACAGCATGAAACTAGTTCAGCCAAATGTACCCTACTATGTCCTTATGTAACAATACTTTAACAACTATATTTTTTGGCCATTCAACTGCTTCAAGAATGTAATAATGTATTGAGATTAGAATAAGCGCAGACTTGCACTTACCTGTATTCCTGAGGTCGCTGGTCCCGTCTCGTTGCTTTGGCGACTGGATTGGCTGGACTCTGGGGACACACAGTTCGGGTCTCCAAAGCTGCCCGTCACCCCGCTGGAGCTGCCTGAAGAAGACCCTCCAACTCCTCCATTTTCCCCTGGACTTTCTTTGTCTGCACTCGGACCCTGCTCTGCCACTCCCTCATCACACCCTTCATCTTCATCGGCCGAATCCAAAACCACAGGTCCCAGAAGCAAAATCTCCCTTCGTCTTTGCTCGGCTCGTTTTTGTCTTGTTTTAGGACTTAGCAGTTTTATTTTCTTGTCCGTTTGAGGTGGTGGAGTCGTTGAGGTATCGCTATTCGACACGAACCCGGATTCGGGGCTCGGTCTTGGACTCGTCACCTCATCGCTGCCCCACTGCTGCCTGGACGTCCAACTAACAGGCGCCTCCTCTACATTCTCGTGAATATACAATCTGCGTGCTATTTCAGTGCAATCTCCCTTTTCGAAATCGCCCCTCAAGTCCAAACGAGGAGCCCAAACGTCGCCCATGTACTGCGGAGGTTGGTAGCGGTGCAACGTCGGCGTGTCAGGGGCGCGGAGTTCCCCCTGGCTCAGTCTTGGGTCCCTTAGAGGTGAGCTAGTTTCAGCGGGAGGGTTAACGGGACGCACCACACGGGAAGGGATGGCAGGAGAAGAGTGGATGGTGCTTGGATGCTGGTATTTTTGGTGGCAGTCGATGGTAGTATCATCATTTGCTTCTTGTGAGTTTTCAGGCTGGTTTAAGTTAGTCGGGGTAAGCTGCTCTGTTAAAGGGATATTCATTTTACAGTTCTGTGCACTGGATCCTGGATTGTGTGACGGGGAACCATTTCCTGCCACTAAACTAGCAGAAACTTTGATGACCTCTTCTACCAACTTTCGCGCAACCTCCGGACTATGAGCCGCCGGTTTGCTTTCACTCAACTGGTTCATTCCTTCTACTTTATCAATGCCGTGCTTCGGAGAGTCCACACATCGTCTTGGAACCGCGGGGCTGCCGGGCGAGAGGTGACGAGGGCTTTGCAATTCAACATGTGAGTGCATTTGTTGTTTTTTGCAAAGGGGTGAGCTAGTCCAGGATTGACAACGAGGCTTCCTGTTTTGTAAATAGTCACTGTTTTCAAGCGCATGGGCGAGTTTGATTCTCAACAATGGCGAACCAAACTCCTCCACTGCTCTTTGCGTAGCTGCCCTTCCGATAGGGTCGAAAACGGGTGCTTGTCTGGGAAGATACTGCTGGTGACCTGGAGACCTGTAAGGACTTGAGCTGCAAGAAGAAGCCGGGCTGCTAAACCGAACCGGATCCGGTAACCTTTTGCGGAAATGGTCTCTTATCGGACTTTCTACGGTCTTGACGTTGGATTTCTCGACGTAACTAAACGTAACCACAGAACGCTTTCTATCACTGACATCATCTTTTCGTATGCACTTAGGTGAGACGTAGCTTGGTGGAGAATGGATATTGTAGAAAGGTGTGATCAAAGGCTTGGCAACCTTTGGCGAATTATGGATTTGAAAACTGACCGAGTGTTTTGAAGGTGATTGCTTTTGTGCACGTTCCTGGGCTAAGCAGTCACTTGTAGATGTCTTGGTCGGGTTTGTGAGTTTAGAAAGTAACTCTGCAGGATTGTCCTCCTCGCTTCTCTCTGCTTTTTGATCCGGGGCGGCCCTCACTTCCACATACAGATGAAGCACTTTTCCAGACTGGGACATGACCTCCTCTGAGTGACAAAATGGGGACGCAGACACGATGAAAGCAAGAGAAAAAAATGGAGCGCAAGAAGAGACTTTGAAAGCGACCTAAGCAAACAGCAATTTTTGACTTTATTTTGGTGACAGCTCTTCTGGGACGCCCTTTCGTGTCAGTGTGTTTTCAGATCATCCTTTATAGCCGTCCGGATGGGAGTGTGCGTGTGCATTTGGAGACACACAGGAGAAACAGCTAGAGGACAGACTCTCCTCTGGGACACCTGCAGCAGTATAGTCCTCTTCATACCTGTGAACAAGAGAGACAATATTACGCACTGCTAGCAGATGGGGAGCGTTTGACCTGGAGTAGAGCTATTTTTTCACTCTGCTGATTCATCCCACTAGCTTTTTCTCCTTTTCTTGGCATCTCTGTGTAATCCAAACTGCCTGGCTAAAAAAAGAAACTGTCTTATTATAGTGTTGTTAAAAAATATTCTGAAGAGTTTTCACAGGTTAGCTTCGTCTTGCATAAAACCACAAATCGATCAGCTAAAAATACAGCGTGCACAGGGCTCAGAGATGCATTGTAAACAACCTGGCAGCTTGTACATCGCTTGTCAGGTTTCACTGTAGCGATTTGTAGCTGTCTGTCACATGAGCTCATCTCAGAGAGTAAGGAAGCAGGAAGCCATCCCTCACTTCCTCCTCAGCAACGAAAACAAAGTGATGAGAGGGCAAGAATGACAACAATCCACTGCTAATTCTTCAGCCCAAAGTCAATTTCCTGAAGTAATTAAAAACACATTTATAATGGAGGCAAGATGGGATATGATGTGAGGTGAGCCAGTGATGCAGCACCATATTGTGTTTAGACTGCTGGAAAAGTTAGAGAGGTCCTTGGGTAAAAATAGGTATATCATCCAGCTCCGGTAGTCCTGACCAAGCCGAGCATCAAGATATGGAGAAGGGTTCCCGGGTGCTGTACTACAATGACCCCTGCTCCTGACAAAGGCCCTAGTGGCTTTGCAGGATGGGTCAAATGCCTTTACAAACTGATTTCAGAAAATGTATACCAGTTGATCCTATGTAAATCATCTTTATTTATATAGAACATTTCACAGACCAAGGTCACACACAACACACTTCACATGGTGTTGGATATTTGTCATAATTTTTTTGTCATTCACTCCACACATGATTGGAGATAGGACACGATTGAGTCCTATTGTATATGCTTTGATTGGTGGGGGTAAGAAACCTATATAGAGAACAAGGCAAGGCAAGGCAAGGCAAGGCAAGGCAAGGCAAGGCATAATCAGGCCATACACAAACAATTCCTGAATAAATCCTTGTGAGTTTAAGTACTTTAATCTAATAATAATGTAGTTATGAAATGGAGGTTTCCTCGGCAGCATGGCCACACAAACAGAACTGTATTGAAGATAGTTGCCAGCGGCAGCAGATTCTCTGTGGCATATGGTGAGAGAGGGAGAAACCACTTTCCAAAATCGTAAGCGACAGTTCAAGGAGAACCTGAGCCCAGTCACGTAACGCGTTATTTCGACCCTTCATGGAGTTGTGTTTACAATTCAGACTGGATATTAATAGCATTTAATTTAAAGTATTGGTTTATTGTAATCAAACTGGCTTTCATAGTAACAACAGTGCAATTTGTTATTACCTTCTCATTAACACGTCTATTTCGCACATCTGATTCTCGCGACTACACCTTCTATTAAATAGGCCTTTGTCAGTTGTTGTTCCTCTGCAGGGTGCTATTGTTTGAAGAGTGTGAGAGTGACCACAATGACTATAGTACTTACTTACTTGAGACAAGAGCCTAAAATCTGCCTGAGAGCATGTAACAAGGGGAAGTGTTGTGCTGCATTGGTTGAATATAAAAAGCAGGGACAGCAGAAGCATGTCGAGCAGTGTTAGATAAGACTGGAGCGAGATGGAGAAGCATGTGTGAGAATGTGAAGGACAGGGATGAGTTGGCAAAGGGCCAGACTCCTGCAAGAAACACTGCAGCCGATAGCTGCAGAAAATCAAGACAGATTCACCAAAATACCAAGCAGTTCATTGAAAAGTATTGGGCAGTAATAGTAATTGGGCGGCACGGTGGCTGAGTGGATAGCACTCTCGCCTCTCAGCAAGAAGGTCCTGGGTTCGAATCCCGGTCGGACCAGGGCCTTTCTGAGTGGAGTTTGCATGTTCTCCCCGTGTCTGCGTAGGTTTCCTCCGGGTACTCCGGTTTCCCCTACCACTAAAAATATGTCCAATAGTTCTGGCATGCGCCTCCTGTACTGGTGACCCCGCTCCCATCTCTGTGTGGAGTGAGAGACAAATGCCCAAAATTAACAATTGTAAACCGCTTTGAGACTCAGATCTGCAGTGAAAAGGCGGTATATAAATAAAAACTTACTTACTTACTTACAGTAATTAACAGCTATTTTGATAATCTGTCAGTTGGTCGATGAGGTTCAGAAAGGTCAGTCAATATGTGATTTTTAATATTTATTATTTTACCAAAACAAAGATCAAATGATACCCAAGATGTGATTAAAAGTACTTTGTAACCACATTACCTTCTACAGTCATTATTAAAATTTTCAGTCATAAAATACCTTCTCAGCATCTATGTCTATGTTAAGTGAAGGTAATATGTTGGAAACTAAACTGAACTGTATTTTAATATGTATGTATTGTCAAGGACTATAGATGGAAAGTAGCATGGTGCTAGATCTGGTGCAGCTATCGTTTTTAATGTAACTGCATTGTCCTTAATAAACTAAACTCTAAACTCTAACCTCGAGGTTTAGGCGAGAGTTTCAAAAGTGTGACTTCTCTGTGATCAAAACTGTCTCGTGTCCTGCTGGTCCTGGCCCCGGGAGCAATACTCTTATTCCTTCTCATAATACTCACTAGGGAGAAGACCCAGGAGAAGACCCAGGACATACTGGAGGGACTATATCTATCTCAGCTGGCCTAAAAACGCCCCAGAGCTGCGTGTGGAAGTTTGGAGAGAGGAGTCTGCGTCTGTGCTCAGAGTGCTCCACAGATAAAGACAATGGATGGATAAGTGGTAAAAATAATACTATATTAGATCTGTACTTCAAACATCAACTTCATACATAGAAACATATTAGAGTTGATGATAGGTTAGTGCAATTACAATAACAATGACCAACCCCTTTGCTGTAATAGAACATCTTGGCCATGTTTTCTGTGCCCATTGTTGTGCCAGAGACAGCAATCCAAACACACCATATAACCACTCACCAGCTGCCACCCTGACTTTCCCCGCCATAGTCATATGATCATCTAAAACTAACTGCTTGATTACTTGTTGTGAGATTTAAATTTGAAGTAGCCTCTACATATCCTCCTGAAGTTAACAATTCTTAACAAAAGCCACAAGATCATACTTCAAGCTGTTTCTGAGTGATGTTCTCGCTTTAAAGGAGCACTCATTGTCAACGTATGCTAAGAATCTTCTGCCATCTGAGCTGCCATAATACTAATATTAGCTGGATATTTTGCTCAAGAGATAATATCAGAATCAGAATATTTTTTATTGCCACCTAAGTAACAGGAAGTCACAGACTTGGAAATTGCTTTGGCTCAGTGCAACAGTATGAGAAATATAATAAAAAATAAAGAATAAAAAACACTTAAAGTATCAATTTAAAGTAGAGTTACAGTTACTATTTACAATATACAAGTGCACATGGTGCACACAATGTAAGGTGACAGCAGTACAGTGAAGTAAAGTTATGTATGATGGGCAGTAAAGTGACTTTATAAAGGGCGGGGGGACAGGTTAAGAAGTGTTCTAGAGTCCAACAGCAGAGGGGAAGAAACTGTTCTTGTGGCGGGAGGTTCTAGTCCTGATGGACCGCAGCCTCCTGCCCGAGGGGAGTGGTTGGAATAGTCCATATGCAGGGTGAGAGGGGTCGGCTGTGATACGACCAGCCCGGCCTCGAGCTCGGGCGACGTACAGGTCCTGCAGCGATGGAAGGCTGCGGCCGATCACTTCCTCTGCAGAGCGCACAATGCGCTGTAGGCTCTGTTTGTCCCTGACTGTGGCTCCAGCGAACCACACAGTGATGGAGGAGGTGATGGAGGAGGTGAGGATGGACTCGATGATGGCCGTGTAGAACTGCACCAACATCTGTGCAGGCAGCTTGGCTTTCCTGAGTTGCCGCAGGAAATACATCCTCTGCTGGGCCTTCTTGATGAGG